ATCAGCCTCAGCCTCAGCCTCAGCCTCAGCATCAGCCTGCCTCAGCATCAGCCTCAGCCTGCCTCAGCCTCAGCCTCAGCCTGCTTCAGCCTCGGCCTCAGTCTGCCTTCAGCCTCGGCCTCAGCCTCAGCCTGCCTCACCCTCAGCCTGCATCAGCCTCAGCCTCAGCCTCAGCCTGCCTCAGCCTCAGCCTCAGCCTGCCTCAGCCTCAGCCTCAGCCTCAGCCTCAGCCTGCTTCAGCCTCACCCTCAGTCTGCCTTCAGCCTCGGCCTCAGCCTCAGCCTGCCTCAGCCTCACCCTGCTTCAGCCTCAGCCTCAGCCTCAGCCTGCCTCAGCCGCAGCCCGCCTCAGCACCAGCCTCAGCCTGCCTCAGCCTGCTTCAGCCTCAGCCTCAGTCTGCCTTCAGCCTCGGCCTCAGCCTCAGCTTGCATCAGCTCGAGCCTCACCTCAGCCTCAGCCTGCCTCAGCCTCAGCCTGCCTCAGCATCAGCCTCAGCCTGCCTTTGCCTCAGCCTCAGCCTGCTTCAGCCTCGGCCTCAGTCTGCCTTCAGCCTCGGCCTCAGCCTCAGCCTGCCTCACCCTCAGCCTGCATCAGCCTGAACCTCAGCATCAGCCTGCCTCAGCATCAGCCTGCTTCAGCCTCAGCCTCAGCCTCAGCCTGCTTCAGCCTGAGCCTCAGTCTGCCTTCTGCTTCGGCCTCAGCCTCAGCCTGCCTCAGCCTCAGCCTGCCTCAGCCTCAGCCTCAGCCTCAGCCTGCCTCAGCATTCAACATGTGGCCCGGGAATGGAGTTCTGGGAATTCGAAGAACACGAAGTGGCCTGCAGTTGGCTCCGGGCATTCAAAATCATGCCCAAAAATGGAATTCTGGGAACTCGAAAAACACGAAGTGGCCTACAGTTGGCTCCGGGCAATCAAAATCATGCCCAGGAATGGAATTCAGGGAACTCGAAGACCACGAAGTGGCCTACAGTTGGCTCCGGGCACCCAAAATGTGGCCCGGGAGTGGAGTTCTGGAAACTCGAAGACCACGAAGTGGCCTACAGTCGGCTCCGGGCATCCAACACGTACGCCGGGAATGGAGTTCTATCACCGCCAAGAGCGATTTTGCGAGGATGTCCGAAGCGATTTGGGTTTCGGCGGCAGCCGCCCCGGGTCCCGCCCCGACCCCCTCTGAGGAGACATGATGCTCTCTTTTGACACCACTGGAAACCTGGCAGTCTTCGCTGTTAGGTAATAGCCCCACAACCATGTAGGGAAAAACTGAACGGGAACGCGACGGTGATAAAGTCCTCCTTGGGCGGCGCCGACAACGCGACCGGCGGCGCCGACAACGCGACCGGGCCACAACGACGCGTTTTTGCTGGCTGGGAAGCCTGCGGACGTCACGCGCGCCCCTCCGCGCACGCGGAGGCGACCTCCGGGGCGGCCTCCGAACCAGCCTGTCCTTGAGGCGCTCCTCAGGAGACCTCCGAAGCGACCCCTGCGGCGGCAGCCGGGGAAGCCTCCGAACCGACTGGTCCCGGCCGCGCTCGCGACCGTGGCTCCGACTCCGCCGGATTGGGACGCTCTTTGGCGAAGCACCTGGCGCCCCCGCCGGCTCGGAACGCGTCCGCCCAGCAGGTCGTCCCCACCAGCACCGTCGGGGCCGCCAACCTCGCGCCTATGCCTCCGATTTGGGTGTCGGCCGCGCTCAACACTCCGACGCAGATCAGCGAGATCCTCGCGCAACCCCCTTCGCCCAGGGTCGGGGGTCGGGTCACTTTCGCGATCGCCACCAAGGAGATAAGAACGAAGTGCGCCGTCGCTTTCGCCTCCTCCGGAAGGGGCCCCACGGCGGCCACTGCACTCGTGACCAGGATCCCTGCTGCTCGCGAGTGCGTCGGCGAGCCGCCCTTCGAAGACCTGCCTGAGGCCGCGGCGGACCCGCCCAACGCGGTTCCAGTCCGGGGTGGCTCCGGACGACAACGCGCAACACTTCAAGACGGCGTTCACGTACCGGCCCCCGTCCTGCTTGCCCTGGGCTCCGCCGTCGCGGGCGAGGAGGTACCACCCTGGGTTCACGCCCTCGTTCGACTCGAAGAACTACCACGACAAGTAGTCGTCCTGGGCCCCGATGGCGGCGCCCTCGTAGACGCGGTCGAATGGGCCTTTTCCCAAGGACCACCATGACCGCCTTTCCTTGCTCCTGGTGGCCGAAATCGAAAGCGACGAAGTCGATCACGTCCCCAGCGCTCCACTGAGTGTAAGCATGGTAGTCCGTGTCGAAGTAAAACCACAGCCAAAGACCCGCCAAGGGTCCAGCCATCGCGGCTGCAGCGGTTGCAACCATCGCGGCTGCAGCGGCCGCAGCGCAACACGCACGCTGCAACAACCTCCAGAGGCACCCCTGAAAGCGCGACACCCACCGCGGCACAAGCTCCAACCAAAGCCGCTATGGCGCGCGCGATGCAGGAGTACCGTTCGTGTCTGCTCCCGCACGCGGGCGGCACAAGTAGTAGTAG